GTTTATAGTGTCTTTCTTTAAGCCATTTTGAGTTTACGTTTGTGTACAGTGTGAGGGGAGTGTTCTAACGTCCTTGATTCACATGTGGCTGTCCAGCTTTCCCAGCACCACCTGTTGAAGAGATTGTTTTTTTCTCCATTGTATATTCTTGCCTCCTTTGTTGAAGATTAATTGACCATAGGTCTCTGGGTTCATTTCTGGGCTCTCTATTGTTCTATTAATCCATATGTCCAGTTTTGTGTCAAAACCACGCTCTTTTGATTACTGTAGCTCTGTAGTATTGTCTGAAGTCTGGGAGGGTTATTCCTTCAGCTTTGTTCCAATGTTCACAGCAGCACTATATACATAGCCAAGACATGGAAGCAGCCTAGATGTCCATCAGTAGACAAATGGATAAAGAAGTTGTGGTATATTTATACAATGGAATACTACTCAGCCATAAAAAAGAATAAAATAATGCCATTTACAGCAACATGGATGGCCCTGGAAAATGTCATTCTAAGTGAAGTAAGCCAGAAAGAGAAAGAAAAATACCATATGATATCACTCATATGTGGAATACAAAAAAAAAAAAAGGAAAAAAGAGGACATTAATGAACTCATCTACAAAACAGAAACAGACTTGCAGATAGTAAACAATCTTACGGTTACTGGGGGAAAGCAGGTGGGAAGGAATAAACCTGGGAGTTTGAGATTTGCAAATGTTAACCACTATATAAAAATAGATAAATTTCTGTTGTATAGCACAGGGAACTATATTCAATATCCTGTAATAACCTTTAATGAAAATATCAAAATGAATATATATATGCATGACTGGGACATTATGCTGTTAAAAAAAAGAAACCCTTTTTAAAAAAAAAGTTATTTTACAATGTGTTAATTTCAGGTGTACAGCAAAGTGATTCAGTTGTATGTGTATATATATTCTTTTTCAGACTCTTTTCCATTATAGGTTGTTATTACAAGATATTGAATAGTTCTGGAGACCTGTACTTTAACAGTCATGCTGGGGGCAGGGATGACAGTTGAGTCCAATGAGCACACTTATTCAATAAGAAGGTTCTCTCCCCTCCTGGGGTTCACTTGCTGATGGATTCTCCCATGGAAGCTTCGAAGCAGTAAACAGATGACTAGTTTTTAAGCCCCAGCATTCAGTGAAAAACTGGATTCTGATTCCAAAGAGCCCATGTGAAAAGAGAAATACGGGTCTCACTCTCTGCATTTCTGCCTTCAGGCTCTCCTCCCCTCCCTCATACTTACCCTCTGTTAGTTAAGTAGCGAGCAGCAGGGCTGTTTCTTGCAATATTTCCAGCCGGAGAGATGTGGTCAGTTGTTACTGAATCTCCCAAATTTAGCAGCACATAGGCATCCACTATAGATTTCGGGGGCTGAAGATCCAAAGTCTAAGAAAGAACACAACAAGTCAGTGCTGGCCCAGGTTTCTCCAGCACGTCACCAGGGAGCCTCGACAGTAGTGGTCCGTGGACCTGAGCCAGGTGACAGCCCTACATCAATGTATAGAAAATTCTAGTTTTATCAGGAGTGCTTAGAAAAATGCGGTGAATTTACTCAAAATGTTCATATCTCACCCTCGAAAGGAGGTGAAGTATTGGCAGTGCCCCTCACAAGCCACAGGGAAACTGCTGCAATGACATCTTCCTTCTCCATGTGCAGGGAACTCCTCAGACGCTGAGGACAGCAGGAGTCCTGACTTCTCTCCCCCCACCCCCTCCCACCCGGGGCAGGGCAACTCCCTGATGGTCAGTTTCAGGCTTTCCCTTACTTTTATGGGTATAAGGTCTGAATATGGTGGGCGGTGGGGCTGCTCTCCCAGACAGTCCCTGAGACTCTCTGAGTCCGTGTCCAATAGGGTGTGTCTACACAGCCACACAGAAGCCCTGGACAGAGAAAGTACAGGCCCACTCCAGCCAAATACCCTAGCTTCCCCAAACTCCCCAGGATGACCTGTGCAGGTTTCTAAAGGTTAATGAAATGGGTAGTATAAGCAAGGGTACTGGATAATCAAGTAGATTTTATAAGGCAAGAAACTTTCTGAAGAACTCATTTTGTTAAAAAAATAAGAAGTCCTACCAGGTCTTCAAAGAATGGTGGTGACTTAATGTAGGTAGATTTGGGGTTCCAACAATACAGCTTATCGGATGGGGCTGCTAAGGCATTCCAGCTTTCATTCACAGTCTTAGGAAAAAAAGAGAAAGGGAAAGGCAGATCTAATCACATTCCATTCTAAGGAAAGTTTAACATGAAAACACAAAACATATTCAAGCTAAGAGTGCAGTAAAAACCATTCTTATTCTGGTCTGTTCCTCTGTACAGACAGCACCATGCTAAGTAATCAAAGTTTGGGGTAATTTGCTGCACAGCAGTAGGTAACTAATACATGTACTTATAAGTATAATTTGAGATAATAAGATTGTACCAAAGGGGAAATTATTTACTGTCTGAAGATTTTGGGAAGTAGACTGCCAGGTCAACAGGGACATTGGCTAGCAAATGACAGCGGTTGCATACACCGCATATGTCCATTAGCTAAGTCTTTGAAGAAATGCATTTAACCGAATGTCCACCAAACTCCTTCATACCATTTCCCAATGAGCAGCTTGTGGGTGGGCCCAGTGCATGAGTATAATCCCATTTGACCCCTCTCCCCATACAGTCTGCTCCCTTATTTCACACCACCAGCCCCAGTCAGAAGCCCCTGGGTCAGTGTAACACAGAAACGGGGAGAGGAATAACATCCAAGAGTCTCAGAAGATGATACTGAGCCCAATACATTTTCTCCCTATTTGTAAAATGCATAGTAAGTTTTATTTATTTCCAGTTTGGTAGTTTGGTGTTACCTACTGAGTGGCTTTTATTTTTATTACTTTTTAAAGCATCCGAATAATTCTGAGAGGTGCATTTAACCAGTTGACCCCTCAGGGACACACTGTAGTGACATCAGGGGTCCTGAACCACAACTGACACAATACCCCGCCATCTGCCTGAGGAAGGGGGAGCTATAGAAAGCTGGCCCAGAACCACACAAGCTGAAGCCTTTCCTCCTGAGGCTGCTGCTCAGTTGTCCGAATCTGGGAATGTCAGGGGAGCGTGGGGTCTGTAAAAATGAGCAGCTTTCCCTTGGGCACCCGCCTTACCTCTATCTTCTGGTAGACCTCCTTAAACATCCCGGGGATGACGTACTGGCGCTCCACCACCTGGATCTCATCTCTGGTTGGCCAGATGTCTTTCAGAAATACTTGTTGCCCCTTTGCACTTACCCCTGGGGGAAATGTTTGTTAGTGAGAAGAACTGCATTTCATACCCCATTTCCTCTGTCATGTACAGTCAGTTCTTGTTGTTCAGGGAAGCTCTACAAAGTCCACGTACGCGCTGAATTGGAGAATACGCAGTCACTGCCCCCAGGGGACACAGGGGGTTAGGCTCCGAGAGACTCCATCCACATTTTCATCAACTGAACAATACATCACCTTGCTTTATGTGTGCTTCTATTTCAAGATACCTTATTTAATATATACTGTTAACACTTTCATATTGAACTCGAAAGCCTGTCTAACACGAGGCCCATCACAGCCTTCTTGGGCTTAGGAACACTACACAGTATTTCAGCATTACTCTCAGGGGCCATTTTAAACAGTGAAATCAACAACAAAAAGCACTAAAATGTGAATAACATGGCATTAAACAGAGCACAGACAGGAAACAGAACACTTGTTTGCAGTATGAGACCTGAAACAAGAAGGCAGCAGGTCATGTTGTTCAGCTTCAGCTGAGAGCAGGCACGGCGGGCAACTCAGTTTTCACCCCCATGCACGTCTGTTCGTGACCACGGGAGAGTGATGAGCATTGATTTGGGAGTTAAATCCATTTTAAGGAGTAGTCAAATTTGCAAATATGGAATCCATATATAACGAGGATCAACAGTACCTCAAAAGCTATGGTTCCTAAAAGTAAATTCCAGGGCACTGTTTTCATATTATCCAGTCTGGTTAGCATGCGTTGAGGAGAGTACAGCAAAAAAACCAGTGGAAAAGGAAACAAAGCATCATTTCCCCTGAATTTGGAGAAGCTGCACTGTGTAGGATGGTGTTGCTACAGACTAAATATGAAAACAATGCCTATCATGAGAGTAAAGCAGGAGCTGGAAAGAGAGGAACCAGAGAAGCCACCAGAGTGGCAGGAACTCTGTTACTTGTGGTGTTTCTTTCCCTCTTGTCGTCCCTTTCCCTTTAACTGAAATAGTTATGACCTAGCTGTGTATTGCTTCCTTCTCCTCTCATCTCTTGAGGTTCTAGGCTTCATTATTTATCAAGGAAAGCAGTAGTACTGTCAAATTCATTGGGGAAAAAACTATCCACACAGATAAAATCTTACCCAGTGGCTCTTTCTCAAAGTCAATCCTAATGGTGCCGGCAATCGCATAAGCTATTACTAAGGGTGGAGAGGCTAAATAGTTGGCCCGGGTGTTGGGGTGAACTCGCCCTTCAAAATTCCTGTTTCCAGACAGTACTCCAACAGCTACGAGGTCCCCCTGTGTGAGGCAAGGGAGAAAGCAGGTCACAAAGACAAGAGATCGCCTAGGTGTCTTAGACCATTTGCCAAGGTTTTCCCTTTAAGTAAAGTAGCCCTCAAGCTTCCCTTTCACCTGGTCCTCCCCCCCGGGAAGAAGAGCACACAGGGCGGCCATGTGGGGGACACTCTGGGTCAGAAGAAGCAGAGACATGTTCAGTGGCTTCTGCTCATGAGAAAATACCAGGTGGGTCAGAAGGCAACATCCTGGTTCTTTGGCTGCTGGGGGCCAGAGAACAGGTGGGGAAGAGTACAAGCTAAAGGGAGCCACACTGACTGACATGGACTCTACAATTAATGCACAGCAAACCAAATAGTATTTCTGAGTGCTACTGGGTTTATGGGACAAAAATCAAGCCAACACAATTAGTTACGATTCATTTGTGTGGATGCTCTTCTGACTTGGAAGCAGTTTTCAGACAACAGGAATAAAGGATTCTGGCGCCTCTGCAGTCAAAGCCAGCATTTATGGAGCATGTGTGTTCCATGCACCTCAGTAAGTCCTCAATGTCCACTGTCATCTTAATGCTCACAACTCTATGAAACATATACCATTACTGTCTCCAATTTACAGTTGTGAAAACTGAGGCACAAAGAGGTTAATTAACTTTCCCAAAGGTATACAGCTAGTAAGTTTAGCTCAAATCCAAAGGCCAGACTCTTAACCACATCCCCTGTTGCCCGGACCTTCATGAAATTACCAGCATTTTGGTCACACATCTTATAAAAAAGGACAACAGCTCTGGAGACCCACAGGCCCCTCTGTAATTACCTGTGTGATGGCTTCTACCACAGCTTCAGGCAAGGGCCCACTGTTGCCGATGCAGGTCATGCAGCCATAGCCCACCACGTCAAACCTAGGTGCAAGAGAGAAGTGCAGGGTGGAGAGAGACTCTCAGTGGGACCGTCTGCTGGTTATAGTTCCTGGAGGCCACTGATTTAAAGAGAATAGCAGCGCATGAAATAAATTTAGCACAGTGCCGTTTCTATAAAGCTCTCATTCTTCGGAGCATTTTGATCTATTCATTCATTCTAGATCATTCAATTAAGAGTCCTTTTTATGATTTACTTTTTTTTTTAATTGAAGTATAGTCTTTTTATAATATTGTGTGAGTTTCAGGTATACAGCCAAGTGATTCAGTAATATATATGTACACAATTTTTTTCCAGATTATTTTCCATTACAGGTTATTACAGGACATTGAATAGTGTTCCCTGTGTTACAGAATAAATCCTTGTTGCTTATTTATTTTATATATAGTAGTATGTATCTGTGTATCACACACTCTTAATTTTTCCCTCCCCCAACTCCCTTTCCCTTTGGTAAACAAAAGTTTGGTTTTTATGTCTGTGAGTCTGTTTTGTAAATAGATTCATCTTACTATTTTTCAGACTCCACATATAAGTGATATAATATTTGTCTTTCTCTGACTTATTATTTTCTAGGTCCATCCCTGTTGCTGCAGATGGCAACATTTCATTCTTTTTTATGGCTGAGTAATATTTTATATATAAATATACCACATCTTCTTTATCCATTCATCTGTTGATGGACACTTAGGTTGCTTCCATGTCTTGGCTATTACAAATAGTGCTGCTATGAACATTGGGGTGCATGCATGTACCTTTTTGAATTAAGAGTTTTCATCTTTTCCAGATATATGCCCAGGAATAGTATTGCTGGATCACATGGTAGCTCTATTTTAGTTTTTTAAGGACCTTCCATACTGTTTTCCACAGTGGTTGCACCGATTTACAGTCCCTCCGACAGTGTATGAGGGTTCCCTCTTCTTCACACTCTCTCCAGTATTTACTGTTTGTAGACTTTTTGATGATGGCCATCCTGACCAGTGTGAAGTGGTACCTCATGTGGTTTTGATTTGCGTTTGTTGTTTTTTGATACTGAGTTGTATGAGCTGTCTGTATTTTTTGGAAATTAATGCCTTGTCACAGTTGCATCATTTGCAAATATTTTCTCCCATTCCATAGGTTGTCTTTTTGTTCTGTTGATGATTTCCTTTGCTGTGCAAAAGCTTTTTTAAGTTTGATTAGGTCCCACTTGTTTATTTTTACTTTTATTTCTTCTGCCATGGGACACTGATCTAAGAAAATACTGCTAAGATTTATGTCAGAAAATGTTTTGCTTATGTTCTCTTCTAGGAGTTTTATGGTGTCATGTCTTATATTTAGATCTTTAATCCATTTTGAGTTTATTTTTGTGTATGGTGTGAGGGAGTACTCTAACTTCATCGATTTACATGTGGCTGTCCAGCTTTCCCAACACTGCTTGCTGAAGTCAAGACTATCTTGTCTCCATTGTATATTCTTGCTTCCTTTATTGAAGATTAATTGATGGTAGGTGTATGGGTTTATTTTTTGGCTCTCTATTCTATTCCATGTAATTTACTTTTTAAAGTAATTTGCTTTTAAATTTGTAAGTAAATTATAAGGGGTCTACTTGAATGATCTAGAATTTTTGAAAGTTGAAATCAGATATGCCATTTGATGTCTCTATTAAATACTTTTATTATATAATCCTAAGAACTTCTGACTTTTATGAGGCACATGATTAAAAAATCTGTGTCATCCAAATTAGGAATAGTAGGTTAATTGGAGAAACTGTCCTTGGCAACAGATAACTAATTTACTTCAAGGAGTCTGAACATTTTTGGGCCTGGAAAATAATTATTTTCATACCAAAGAGCAGATTCTCAGTTGCAGAGTCCACATTAGCACGTAGCACACCTTTCTGCAACTGAGATAAAAAGCACCTGCTCCCTCCTCCATCGGGAGGTGCAGGGCTACAGCAGAGCACAGGCTTGACTTCAGCCTCTGCTCTCTTCATGGGCACCTGTGTCTGATGAACAACCAGCACAACTGTACAGGAGGGCCTTGCCTTGTTGGAACCTGAGGGTTTAAGTCTATTTAACATCTGACAAAATTAGACACCATCAGATAAGCTTACATCCATTACAAGGTGACCTAGCAGGATACCCTTGGAATAAAATAAAACAAAAGCAATGGTGTAAAAATAATTTCTCCCTCACCCAAGCTGAGACAGGTAAGGCATGACTCCACTTTCTCGCAGGTAGTAGGTGACCACACCACTTCCAGGAGACAGGCTAGTTTTGATGTAAGGCTTCACGCTCAGGCCAGCGTCCACAGCTTTCTTTGCTAACAAGCCTGTGAACGGTACACACAGACACGTGGTGACTGCCCGCTCTAGGCGCCAGGGACAGTTCAGGAAAGAGACAGGCTTTTCAGACTGCACTTCCTGCCACACTGCCTGACAAAAGCGTTACTTTCTGCCACTTCTGCCTGGGAGAAGTCGAAAAGTCAAAAGCTCATTGACCCAAAGTTATTTACATGTGTGCAGTAAACTCAAAATTAGTCACGGACGTGATGAAAGAGACGTGCTTTTTTGTTTGTTTGTTTTGAGAGAAAGTCATCTTTCTAATTATGTTTTATTCAGATGAAAAGTAATTGGAAGGGCTCCTTCTTAAAGTTTACGAACTGTGTACTGGCTGGTGAGGAATATAGTCTACCTAGGAGTAAAAATTTAGCCGTCAGATATTTCTTAAAGGGGAAGATACAGAGCGCCTGGGCCCCTGGACTTTTGGCAAATACAGAGACTACTGCAGGGACATGGTGCTCTGTCTTAGGACATGTCACAGAAGTAGGGAAGAAATAAGGAGGGGTTATAAAGAGACAAAAAGCTAGAGACAAGCTGGTGACTTGTCTTAAGGAAACCGGTTTGTTTCACCCACATGTCCACTTGACCATTGGGAGGGATGTCACTTACCTGCTCCTAACATCACAGATGGATTACTGGTGTTTGTGCAGCTCGTGATGGCAGCAATGACCACGGAACCATGAGCAAGGCTGAACTCGCTGTTATTATAGATGAACGTCTTATGGTCATTATGATGGTCTGGAGCAACCTGGAATCCTTTAAATCCTTGCTATAGGAAGAAAAAAATATACATATGGTCAAAAGTTCTCACTTTGGGAGAAGAAGAAATACTTTGGTAACTATAATTTTAAAGGGCAGTTCTTAACAAAGCAAACATCTCAGCTGGTAAACTCTGAAATGCTACAGAAAAATTAAAGTCCCCTTTTAAATCTTTATAAAAGGGAGTCATGATTTCTGAATCTTATTCTGCTTTGAAATTATTAACAATTACTTTCTTCCCATCTCAAATATCAAAACACTAAAACTACAAATTTAGTTCAAAGTTAGTCTCGTTAGAAATAATTAGTACAGGTTTAATGTCTGCAGACTGAGGCCACCAGTACTAATCTTTTGGAAATTTAGAAAAAGGTGTCATTTTGGCCAGATTCAACTAATCATGGTCAGTAAGGCCGATGAAGTACAGCGGAACATTTGGTAAAATGCTGGTGTCCCATGGATAAAACCCATCACAAATCTTAATCATTCATTTGGGAAATGTTCATTGAAAATCTGCCCTGTACAGATGCTGTGCTGGGCACTTTGTGGGATAAAAAGGTGATTGCGACATAAATGGTACCCTCAGATTTACAGTCTACTAAGGGAAATCAGACATGTAAATAAGACAAAGCACCGACAAGAAAGTTAAAGAATGTGAAATGCCATCACAGGGTTTCAGACTGATTGCCATGAAGGTTCACACGAGGGTGAGGTGACTTTCTGCTACGAGATCTGAGGTCACATTGTAGAGGAGCTGATAGATGAGGACAAGCAGATGGGGAAGGGACATGCAGGCAGGGAATGGCGTAAACCAAAGTACAGTGGCTGGAAAAACTTGGGCAAGTAGAGTGAACACTGTGGTGAGAGTCACCTAAAAAGTAGAGATGCTTCTGAAAAGGAGGACTGAGTTGTATTCACAGGTAATCAAGTGCTCCAAGGAAGCTGCTTGACCCTTAGCTGATAGGGGAGAGACATTCAGAACTGGAGGCTGGAGAAGAAAACGCCCTCAGCACCCGGCTTCAGGAAGATTCATCATCGAGGGGGCAGAAGAGAAGCCTGGGGCACGGCAGGGCTGGGGAGGATTTCCACCTGCCCCTCCCAGGTCCCTACCTTGGCTCCGAGGCAGCTTTCAAAGTCCTTTTTCATGTCAGACACTGCGACTTTGTCCTGAGGCCTTTTGGGTCCACTGCAGCAAGGCACTACTGTTTTCAAATCTAATTCCACAACCTGTGCGCCCAAAAGAAAGGGAACCTTAGAACTGACATTACAGCCACAGACACACAAAATGCAACCCTGCCAGAGAATTTGAAACATCACAACCATAAAGACAAACTCAACGCCCACACTGAAAAACAAGGATCACCTAAGGGGTGAATTTTCAAAGATCTGGATGAGCACTTGGGTAGCATGGACAGGCTGAAGTCTGGCCACCTCTTGGAAAGACCAAGGTGGGCAGTGTAGCTGCCGCCGCCGCCTTCCACTCATCCATCTTTGTAAAGCAGCTCATACATCCTTTTTATTACTTAAGTTAGTCTGAGGTGGTTTTTGTACTGAAATGACAGATAAACCATTGTAATTTTTCTAAGATGACTTGGTGGGGAATGCAGCCATTAAGTCATCAATGCCAGGAAATGAGCCCTCGTCTAATTGAGTATTTCCTTCCCTCAACGTAATATGAAACCAAACAAGGGTCCCACATCTAGTTTACCCTGAGATTGGTTGGCTGCTGAGAAAAAAGTGGATTTAGTTTGCACCCTAGAAAATGAATGAAGACAAGTACATTGTTGGATAAATCAGAATTAATTGATTCGTTCACACCTCTGTTTCTTTCCCCATCTACAATGATGATAAGCTTATCAGCCTTTAAAGAGCTCTAGTCCTTCTAAACTCCTTCTCCAGAAGTGTTCCACATAAAGGAGTAAATCAAAAAGGGGGAGTACACCCAACTCAACCGAATGGCCAGCCAGAATGGGAGACGTTACGTTACTTTGTTATGTCTGTGGTTCCTTATCGTTTTAATTATTCAGCCTTTTAACACCCTGTTCTTCTACAATAACTTGGCAGTGACTAATTTCCTACCAGTACACCCCCCACCCCCAAGAGAAAACATTCACAACTAAAACCACAGCCTTGAGGAAGAGGAAACACACGCTGGATGCAAGGCGCTTTCTTACCTGGGCAAAGTCTGGGTCTTGAGAGGGGTCACTGAAATCCCGAAACATTCCTACAGCCTGAAGATACTTTTTAATATGCTTTACCTTTTCTTCTTCACGACCTAATGGGTATTTTAAGAAGTAGCAAGTAACAGATGTTAATTTCCTGATTAAACTAATGCCTCTACCAGCAGTTATACAAGTCATACCAAGAGCTCTGCTGACATGGCGGCTCCCAGACAAACAGTCTGACTCTCTGGCTGATGCTGCTGTTTACTGGGAGCTATTAACTGATCGACCAAAGTGACCACTTTTGGAAGAAGATTCTGGTGTTCTACGTACTCCTTTCTCTTTGGTTATGGTTCTAATTAGGAGGATCCTGAGCCTCGGCGATCTGTCACAGCATACCTCGCATCTGCCTTCCACTGGCCACAGACCCTCAGCATCGCACTTGATTCCTGTTAAAACAGTAATCCACCCAGTCTCCCACCACAAACCATCAGCTACGAGCCCTTCCTGTGTGCCCAGCACTGTGTGCTAAACATTATTTAAATCTCTACTCCTTCATCATGACCTTATTATGACACAAATACTGTTATTCTCACTTACAGATAAGGAAAGAGTAGCTCAAAAAGATGAAATATCTTTCCCTTGGAGCATAGACAATAAATGGCAGAACCAGGATCTGAACCTGAATTTAACTCCAGAGGTCAAAGTCCTGACTCATAATGTTGTTTTACCGGGAATATGACCCTGAATGGTCTGCTGTTTGATTCTTGTCAAGACCCTGGTTGCAGGAGATAATATGCATGAAGTTTGCCCAGCAGACATGCAGGCCTTCCGTTTCTCTGACAGTTAAATAAGACTGAGAGCTTGATTCTTGGATCCACAACAGATCAGGAGTTTTTTGTTTGCCTGTTTGTTTTAATGGAATTGGAAAGGTCATCAGCTTTCAGCATGGACCTTTTAACAGATGACTGACTGATCACATATTTATCATGACCTGCTGTTGGGCCCCAGTGTTCATTACATCCCATGTCATCCACTCCATGAAGACGCATGGGAGAAACTTCTCTTAGGTTTCAGTTTGAGAAAGGGTTCAACTTCTCTGAAACCATTTGTTTCACTTCAAGAGATGTTACAAATTTGGTACCGGATCAGTAAGAGGTGGCCACCTCTAGAGCCATAGAAATTAATCTTATCTCTGGATGTATTTTGCAGCTCCCTCACCCCTTCCTTTCATCATCCCTTCCTTTCTCTTCTTTAAGTTGAATACCTCAACTATTAAATCTAGGGACAGAGGAGAGGGTAATGCTCTGTTCTCAGCATTCTATGCAACTTTACAAAGGACCTTCTGTTTTCAGAGTTCTGCACTTACCTGTCTGCACCAGGTACTTGATACTGACTTCATCAACTGGGAAAAAGGCAGCAGTCGCTCCATACTCTGGGCACATATTGGCAATGGTAGCTCGGTCAGCAATGGACAGCTGGGCTACTCCTGGCCCGAAGAATTCAACAAATTTGCCCACTACCCCAACCTGGCGGAGGTGCTGAGCAATAGAACAATAGAAGAGTTTGAGGTGTGATGGCCCATATTTAAAATGCTGAACTATCCCCTTGCAGTCCTCACAAACTAGCCTTGTGAGCAAACACAAACAATAAGTTAGCCCAGCATATTTTTGATTACTTTTAAAAATAAAATTTAAAAAATAATGCCACCCAAATACAGCATGGCATCCTGAAGTTGACCCTGGAAAAGAAAAAGGACACTACTGAAAAAACTGGTGAAGTTTCTAGTTTAGTTAATAATGTCATTCCGATGTTAACTACTATTTCTGATAAATGTACCATGGTGATGTAAGATGTTAACTTCTGGGGAAGCTGGGAGAAAGGTAACAGGAACTCTGTTATCTTTACATCAGCGCTCCTATAAATCTAAAATTATGCCAAAACATTTCTTAAAAAAAGAAAGAAAAAATAATAAAAAAAACCCCACAAATAACATGAAGAAAAATGTTTCAAAATGAGAAACCTTTCATTCTAATGAGATCAGTGAAAGTGCCTGGAAGTCCTAAAAGTTAAATTCTTTTGACTTAAATAAATTATGATTTGCACTTGAGTAAGCAAATGCCTTGTTTTCAAGGGTATAATCAACAAATAACCTAAACAAAGGTACAAGTCAAATGTAACTGAAAGATCTCAGTGGTCTGACTCCCACATCTTCTCCATACAAGCCATCAGCCAGGTCAGTGACTGGCCTGGCCCTGCATGAAATCAGTTTCATGAACTGTGGACAGCCACACAACCAGGCTCTTTTGGTTGTGTGGAATTCGGCCAAATTTTGTGGGCAAAGCCTATATTATTTCACACGTGAAGAATCAGGTATGCATCTCTGATAAGCTATAGTATTCAGATAAGTGCAATTCCAATTTCCATGAAGACTTAATCAACAGTATAGTAACCATCCCAAGTACCCCAAGCCTCCAGATTATACAAACAGGAAAAATTGTGATAATTTTAAAAAACATTACTTTTCTAGTAATTTTCAATATGAAACTGCCTTCTTTTTGCAAAGCAAGCAAATCACCAAAAAAAAAAAAAAAAGATTATTTCCTACAAGGGCTAAAGAAAAAGAAAAAGAAAAAGAAAAACAACTATTATTTTCCAGCTTGGAGAAACATCTGTTACAATAATGTAACTTATATTACAGAGAATGGAATAATAAAGTCAGAAATTACTCATAGAATGAGTTTGTTATTTACATATAAAGAAGAATGGCATGGGAAAAATGTAGAACTATAAACACATGCAGGGGAATGATTTCTTACAACCTCAGGATAGTGATTATTTCTAGGATGGAGGAGGATGGCTCTAGCCATAAATACTACATTTCACTTCTTAAAAAATATACATACAGAGAGAGCTCCGAAGCAAATACAGCAAAGTGTTACCATCTGTTAAGTCTGCGTGGTGGGTATATAAATTTCGTTTAACACCTGTGTATTTAAATTATTTCACAATTTCAAAAAAAATTTTAAAGAAAAAGATCTATGCAGCAACAGAAGAGTCAAGCGAACATAATGATCTGAAACTTAACCACAGAATTCTCCCCTCATCTCGTCTCTTTTAAAGTCATCAACATAAACTGTTTTCTAGCATTTCTAGAGCACATGGAACCCAAGAGACTCCATCACGTACTGCCTCCCTGTTTGTTTCTGGGACTCTTAAAGACCACAGAAGAGGCAGTACATCGTTACCTTGGTGATGGTGAGCACGATGTCAGTGGATGTTACCAGAGGGTGGGGATTGCCCATCAGCCTGTAGCCAATCACCTGGGGAAGCACCATGCTGATTGGCTGGCCCAGCATGACAGCTTCTGCTTCGATGCCACCCACACCTGTATGAAAGGCGTGACAATGTTTTCATTATTCCTCATTATATCCCTCGGGCAGAGTTCAGTGTCATTAACAAGTCGTCAACCCAGTAACAGTGTTTTACTAGTATAGAGTTGAGTTATGTTTTCATAAAGAGCAGTTGTCTTTTCTCTGTTCCCCGCTACAGAAGTTTAATAAGTATTTCTCAAAGTGTGGTCCCCCAAACACCTGTATCAAAACTTCCTCGATTCGATGCTAAAAAGGAGAATGGGGGTTCCAGAATCTCCGTGTTTAACAAACAACCCAGGTGATTTTCATTCTAAATGTCCCTAACCCCTTATTCCAGTTCATTCTTCCAGACATTATACTGAGTGCCTAATAGGCACAAGACACTTTTCTGGGTTCTAGAAATACAGCAGTACACAAAACAGACAAAAATACCTCTCTGATACTTGTGGTCACTCAAATTCATGCTCCTGGGATGTAATGGTATCAGAGTAAATCACAATACGTCCTAGGACAGCGTGTGTGGACTAGGAATGCAGAACACTCACCCCAGCCGAGAACGCCCAAACCATCAATCATAGTGGTGTGCGAGTCTGTGCCCACGAGGCTGTCTGGGTAATAGTATCCATCCTGATCAAATACCACTCTTGCCAAATACTCCAGATTCACCTGGTGGATGATTCCTGAGCCAGGGGGAATAATCCGCATATTGCAAAAGGCCTGAGAACCCCACTAGGATTGAAAAATAGGAAGAACACTATGAGTGCCAGACACACCTTATGTAGCTCACCTCCTAGGCACCTCTCCCTGGCATGGGACACACATAAAGAATCAACCAGTGGAACCAAACTCCGCCCATACCTTTAAAAATTCAAATCGTTCTCTGTTTCTTTCAAATTCCAAGTCTTGATTCTTCTGTAAACTGTCTGCCCTGTGAAAGAGAAAAACCAAATGTATAAATTTTAAGGCTTAGAATGTTACTGGTCAAATTTATTAGTGATAATAAACAAAATGGCAATTTCATCTGCAGGCTTGCTGAGTAGTATATGCCCTCACTCACATGGGAAAGGAAAGATAGTTAAAGAAAGTAAAAAGAATAATTATTATTTGCTTCAGGTGATTCCTAAAATGCCTGTAAACACGGTGGGTAGAAAACATTAAGTGCATTTAAGTTGAAACTATTCTAATCTTAAAGTCTGGCTCTTAGGAACAGACTCAAGACATTTATAATGACAACAGCAGCTTAAATATTTAAAGAAACCTTTCTATACTCCTTTCTCATCTGTGACCTGGTTACAGTACCTCTCTGAGCTGAGCCATGTCTGGGCTGGCATTTTCATCTGTTTGTTTTGGGAGAAAGGGAACCAGTGATGCCAGGAGGCACAGGAATTTATAGAAACACAGTCTCCTACCTTTCAAACAGAGGTTTATGTGAAGGGTGGTGCCACCCAAGAGCATCTGTAACGCCCAGGTTATAC